TGCAGTGTGCTGCTTGATAAAATTACAGATAGGATGATACCATGTGGAAGTGGTGGTGTGGTCAGATCGATAGATATATGGTGCCAGTTTCATTGAGATAGATTATATTTTTTTTTTTTTTTTTTTTTATAGGATGATACCATGTGGAATGTGGTGGTGTGGTCAGACCGTTAGATATATGGTGCCAGTTTCATTGAGGTAGATTTTTCAAAACATCTCATGCCCCTGAAAGGAGAACAGGTGATAGAAATGCAATAACAAAAACTTATGTTCTGTAGTAAATTGTTCCACACACAAAACTAGATTTGTCACTGACTTCTTTTATATATGGTCTCCTTGAAATACTGTGCTCCCTTTTTAGACTGTTGCATCTTCCTTCTAATATCAAGGCTTCTGTTTAACCTTCAGCTACCTGCCTTAGTGATTATGTTGCAGCTGCAGAAGATTGCCCTCAGTCTCTGTAGTTGGGCAGAATACTGCTTTAAAAAGCTTTTTGTTGTATATATTTTTCTTTTCCTGCAATATATGAAAAAGAAAAAAATGCATCCAGTAACAGTTATTTCTTGTCTTTGTTTTACTTTTGGTATGGTCTTGACTACTTCAGCTGCCTTCATGGTCAAATTGCCTTCGACAAGAAACTATATTCTTTGCCCAGGTTAAATTTCAGAGAGACCATGTCTGTCTCAGTAATCGTAATCTTGTCATTTATTTCAATGCTGTCTTTTCTCACACAAAGCTGTATGTGACTGATCAGCACTGCATAAATCTCGACGTTCTTTGCTACAGGTTGGTGGTACAAAGGTGTTGACCGGCCCGGATCACGAACCCGTGATTGTCAACGTCCTTCGTTTAGCAGAGTATAATGAAGGAGGGAAAGGCCAGCACTTCACAGAGTCCCAGCACATCATCCCATGCAGCACAGAACTGGGCGCTCTGCGTAGAGCATTAGCGCCATCAGGAGGAATCATTTTAAAGAACGGTTCAGGATTTGGTAAAGATGCCAAGAACTGGGAAGTGCTTACTGAAGAAGATATGAAGGAGACAGTCAAAAGAGTTGGTCTCACAGATGGATGCTCAATACTAATTTTAGACAGCCATGACCAAAGGTAACCATTCTGATTATGAATGTAATTAAGCAAAAAAGCAATTGTGGCAAAGTCTGGTCAAATAAAATTATGCTAGTGACGTATTTTTTTAGCTAAATATGATGTTATTAACATTCCACTCAAGGTAAGTAATTAAGTTTTTGAATTAAGTGCTTACGTGTTTATTTGTTCTTGAAGTGTACTGACTTGCACTGTAATGGGAAAAATCTAGTGAGGACAACTTGTGGCCAGTGGGCTTGCATGTTTTTGGAGTAACTTGAATTATAGTTGTGAGGATCTTCAAGAGACTAGACAGCAACAGAATTGAGCAGCATCACAGCATGCAGCTCTGTCAAATCTCCCAGTTGAATCTCAAGTTGCTAGGGAGACTAAGCAGGTGGTTAGGCTCATTTCCCTTCTCAGTGGGTAGCATTGAAGTTGAGCTCCCATTTGTAGAGACATGGGGATATGTTTGTTACATAAATGTGACCTTCGTAGTTGAAATAGTCATGAAAAAAATAAATGAAGCAATCGGTGCTTCAGCAAGAACTGTTTTTGAGTTTGTGTATGGTTGCAGATAAACAAAATGTCTCAATTTTAGTCAGGGCTTTGTATGCTTTTTAAAACTTGTTTCCAAAATCCTTAAATCCCACCTCAGAAAGTAACTTAAAATCTAAAGTGCCTTCAGAAGCTCGTCACATGGAAAACCAGTTACCAAAACATAGTTGTTGCTGTCTTAGTTACTAGTCCCAAGAGGCCTGGATTCTCTCCCGAGTGTCTAGCTGTTACTCTGTTATGTGCGTGACTATTAACCACCTAGATGTGGCTGACTTATATGACAGCTTCAGTAACTTAGCCCTGGTAGTGCATACAGTTTTCCTGTGTTTATTAAATTGGTTAATATCTGTTTTTGCACTGGTTTTTCTTACAGCTTGGTGAACATATCAAATGGTAATTTAACTGCTTTTACATATGACATCAGCTGGCTCCAAGTTAAAAACTTCTGCAGAACGGATGCTGAAGAGAAACAAGTTAAAATTACTGCCACTATTGAAACAGTAAGAAATCTGCTTGTTCAGAGACCTAGCACATGTTTTGTGTTTCCCTAAACTGTTTGGCCAGTGCATTTGGCTAAATACTAAAAGTATAATTTTGTCTGTACACAAGCAAAAGGGCAATTTTGCTTTTGGCTTTTTCAAGGACTGGATTTAGCCTCAGGGTGCAAGTTCTTCTTTGAGAAGATAGCATGCAACTCCAAGTTACAGTTTCTGTAGGCAGTCAGCAGAACACATTACAGGATTTTATGACTGAAATTAAAACAGGGATTACTTTGACTGCTCAATTAAAAGAATGTAATGCTGGTAACATAAAACATGGCAGCCTACATCAGTGTGTTTTAGTCTGAAACACTTTTCACTTCTGGACATCGTGTGAATGTATTTCAGTAGAGATTATCAGTAAGCAAAATCTGAAATAAAAAGAAGGTGGTATTTCTTGTTTTTAAAAAATACTGTACTGTAATTTAAAATATTCTACAAAGTCATAGTATGTAACAATTCCTGTAGTTCATCTTTGTTCATACTAGTTTATTCTGTTTTGGTTTTATTGTGATTTTATTTTTCCTCAACTAAATCTGTTTAAAGTTGTTTTAACAGATTACCTACTTCATATAGAAACCAAAAATTCCCTTTTCCTGAGATTTGATTCTCACCTTCCTAATTTTCTGAATAAGTATTTCCCAAGAGATTTTCCTGGTACCTTTTCTGACTTTTTAAATAATTTCATGTTATGTGAACTGCTCCTGAGGTTGAGTAGTTGTGAGATATTGATCTTCTGATAAATCCCCAAATTAAATATTGCTTCTTTTCCTTCAAATATCATTAAGAAAAAAAAATTGTATCATATTTAATATGATGTATTAAACAATCCTATAGTGATATGATATATTAAAGAAATGCTTATATCTGTATAGTTGTTAGCATTAATAAGAACATAATTAGTAGACAAATTCAAGTGAAATTTGGTTGGTTGGAATTTGAACAGCAGCTGTGTTCTTGGCATTTTTCATTAGAGACTTTAATATTGCTTGCTTTTAGGTGATGTCAGATATAAAAATGAAAGCAATACAGGAACTTCAGCTGGAAGAGGAGCTAGGTAAGTGTTCAGATGCTTTATTTTTAGACATGATAACTGACTTCCTGATTGTCAGCTGACTTCCTGATTAATGCGAGTATTCAAAACAGAATTCAGTGCTGTGAAGTTGTTGGTTGAGGAAGACAGGGTGTGACTGATTTAAAATTCATTTAATTCTGAATGTTTTCTCTAGCTTAAAATTAAAGTTTGGGAGCCCCGATTAAAATATGTGTTTTTATGAAGCTTTTTAGGTTTTATCTACTAGTTCTTCAGAATCTGTTTTATCAGCTGAAGTAATCCTCATTTTATTGTAATATTACGCTGTAAACTGAAGTAATTTTGTCTTAATTCTTTTTGAGTTATTCTGCTTTCTTTCTTTAAAGCTTGTATTAATTCCTTCACATCTGGTGACATTTGGCCAATTTTATAGTGTTTTATCAATTGTGGCTAATGACTGACTTCAAAGAGAAAATATTTTTTCATGGAAAGAATTTTTTTAAAAGCTTCAAAATCAAGACAGTTCATCAGGTTTCTAGAAAACGCTTTCCAACTTTGCTTCTTATGTAACACTTTGAGAATGAAGCCTTTAAAATAAACCCGCAGCTGTCATTAATTTCAAATATGTAATCTGTTTTAAACCTTTAAGTCAAATTTCTTGTGACTTGTATTGTAGTTAATGCATCTAACTCTTCCCTGCTACTTTCCCTTGTTCCTCTTGTTACAGCAAATGACAGCTGTCTCAGACCTGTTAGTGGAAATGGAAAGCTTCTCTCTCCAGGTAAAATTTATTTATTTATTTATTTGTATCACTCTATGAGAAATTAACTTTGAAGACTTTAACCTTTTCTTCATCATGCCCTGGGAGACACACACACACATGTGCTCTAATTCCCTTACCAAGTAGTCATGTGAGGTTTTTTTTTCCTCCAGTTTTACTACTGTTTACTAACTGCACCCATGCAAAGCCACTAGTTAAACTTAACATTCATCTCTTTTTGCTTTTTCCCCACTTGCATCCCCAATGGCTAAGAGTGAATAGCATGCTTGAATTTATTTACTGACTCTGGGAATTAATAGAAAGTTCTGTTCTCCATACTTGTTTTATAACTGAAAAATCTGTAAATTGTCTATTTTGGATCATATTTTAATTATTAATGGGGCATCTTTTTAGATATTCCAGGAAAAAGAGTCCTCCTTTCATGTCTCTGATTTCTCTTTCTTTAAAGCAAAATGGGCTAAAGATATTTGTTAAAGCATGTTGATGTACAGGGTTGGATTTTAGTACTGCGGGAACAGTAGACTTGAATTATATGGTGACAGTGAAATCCTAAAGCTCTGGACCGTTACATTCCTGTTCATGGTGAGAAGGGACCTTGTCTCCTGGGCATGAAGCACCCAGACCAATGTGTGTCTTTCTCTTCAAAAGTTAGTATTTCTGCTTCAGGAGTATGGATATCTGCTTTTGTGAAAGACCTTGCTAATGCCATAGCCTGGTCTTTGATTTAGATGAATGAGTGGCACCACCCTTCTCTATAACAGTTCTCCTGGTGGCCAGTGTTTAGCAGAGAAGCCTCCCCAACTTTTTGGCACTGCTGTGCCTTCAGGGAGAAACTGGGTGCATCAGATTTGTGTTTGCTTTTTTTACTACTTTACTAACATGCTGTGTTAGTAAGAACGCAGTCCGGAGCCCAAAGACAGATATTAATTCCCTTCCATTCAGTACTTGTCGAGTTACAGCTGGGTTAGAGTGTCTACTTTGGGGCTCCCCATTATGAGAGGGGAAACAAATGAACAAACAAAAAACCCTTATAGATTGGGCTAGTCCAAAGGATAGCACTTGTGTTTTTGGGGATCTGGAACACACTAAGTAGGAGGGAAGGTGGGTTTGGTCAGTGAGAGAAGAGAAAGCTCAGGAATATCTAATGTTCAGCTGCCTGACCATTACCTATAGAGAAGATGGAACCAGATATTTGAGGTGCACACTGAAAGGAGCAGAGTCAACAGGTGAGAGTTGCAGCGAGGGAAATCCCAACTGGGGGAATTTGCAGGAGGAGTGGTCAATCACTATAACGTGGTCCCATGTCGTGGCCCACATGGAAATTCCCTCCATGGAGATGTTCAGAGCTTGACTGGAAAAAGCCTGGAACAGCCTCAGCTGACTTGAGCTGGTCTTGCTTTGAGTAATGGTTTGGACCAGGTAACCTACAGGCATCTTTTCCAACCAAAATTATTCTCCAACTCCATAGGTAAGAGGCAGGGAATAAGCCTTTATTCTACAACTAGAGCAAAGTAACATTTGTAGACTTGCTGATGTAAGGAAAACACTGTGGAAATGCATTTCTCTGAATGCCACTGACTACTTTTATTACTCTAAAGAGCAGCCTAATAGAATGGAGGTTTTGTTCTCAGGAAGTAGCTTTTTTATGATGTTTTCCATATTTTCTCCTCCCCAAAGTGCCAGAGGATTATACTGTCAAGGAAGCAGAACTGAAAATGGGAAGCTTGTTAGGGCTGTGCCATGGAAAATCTCCAACTTCTACTCAGGTAAAATAGTACTGTGACTGAAAAAAGCCTAGTGCTGCTTTTATGCTCTGTTTATATTTCTTAAAATTTCTGATAGTCCTCTATTTTCTTTTGCAATGATTGCAGTAATAAACTGGAATGAGGAAAATTATTGATAACTGGCATTGAGAAATATATATAGGCATTAAGGCTCATCATTTATCTCAATTGCAGAAGGCTAAGAGCGTATACTTAACTATTATAGTTAATTTGGGTAGTGATAAATCATTAAGCTGCAGTAATTCATCTGTTTGCAGCTGTCCATCTTCTGTGTTCTGATACGCTTATATTTTAGTAATGAACATAAAGTAATAAAAAGAAGATACTACATTTGATATCTGCAAAAAGCTGATGTATGTTTCTGAAGATCAGATGCTTTCCCCCTCTCCCCCCCCACTGTTAAGGTAATGTAGAGATATGACAAAATATGACTTAAGCTAGCAGATTTTCATTCTAATTTGTCCAGGTCAAGGACATGTACACGTTGTTAATGAACTTCAATTGATAGCAATAATTCAAGTACATGTGCTTGTCCTGTCTTTACTGCCTAGGTAATTTGATTTATCTAAAAGCAATATCAGTGGTGTTTGATGTCAGGCATGCAATAGCTGCTATATGCATGCATGTATTTCGCAATATTTCCATCATTAAATATATATTCTGATAACTATTCTTGCATTTTTAGCTCTTCTTGTATTTTATTGTTGGGAGCAACCAACACACAAGCCCTGAAATGGAGATAGTTGTGGAAGAGACAGCCTCTGTCAAAGAGGTAGGTGTAGGTGCTCTTCAAACATTTCCTGGTGCCCTAGGCCAGTTCTGGAGAACTGCCCAGAACTTTTGCCTTGTACCATATGCTGTTCAGATCACCAGGTAACACTGAAAGAAAAGAAGCTTTTCAAGTCTAAAAACCAGTGGGGAAGAATGCTTTCATCTTTCAGCAAGTTCACCTTTTGATTCCTTGTATGAGTGTTCCATATATGGCTTGCTGCTCCCTTCCAAAAAAACAATCCTCAAAATGATGTACAATCAGAGCCTGTCACAGTTGAGTTTTGTGATATGGGAGGGAATATGTGTGCTTATCAGTTACTGTGCAGTTAGTCTCTCTGTTTCAACAGGGCTGCAAGTTGGGGTTGGTCTGACAGCATTGCTTGAAAAGCACTTAAGCCAGTTTCAGCAGCAGCCATGCCAAAGTTAAGACCGAACGCAATATGTTAAAGCAGTGAGGTGTCTTTAGGAGTGTATTTACAAAAAGTTGTTCTCTACTTCTGTTTGAAATCACTAGCTTGGTGGGGTTTTTTTTGGGGGGGGAGGGGGAAGGGGGGCAGGTCACTAACATTTTCAAACTTTCAATAGAATTTGCTTGAGTAAAACACCACATTCAGAGCACAGTTTTTGTGTTTGTTTGTTTTACATTTTGTGGAAGTTCCTACCTGTAGTAGTAAATTTTCTTCTTGAAAATTTGCTATCTCAAGAATGTATACTGTGTCTATATGTTTATATTGTTTCTAGGTATTCACCATGAATCAGCTGTTCAGTTTCCATACACTAAAAAAATCTTGTGCAGATTTGCTGAAATCTTAATTTAACAACCTAAGCATTAAGTTAAGCCTCACCATATATTTCTTTTTTTTCAGTGTTTAAATTTAATGCTGGAAAAATCTGGATTATCAGGTTAGTTGTGTTATGTTATTATTTAAAGAAGTCTCTCTAAGGGATTTCCAATTTTCTAAGAGCCCTCTTGCCAGCTCAAAACTTTTAAAAGTTTTGAGTTTTAAAAAAACTTTTAAAGCCCCTGGTGCAGGGCTGGCTGTGTAGTAGCTCTTAAAATAGCAGCTTCAGGTTTTATAAATAAAGTATGGCAAAATTCGCACTTCCTAGGCTGTTTGAGTGCCTGTGTCGATGGAGTAGTTTGGCTGTTTGGACAAGTTTTCTCTGTTGCAGTGGGAACCATTATGTGAGGTTAATTGTAAAAATTGGAGTGATCTTAAGTTATTTTGTAGAAGCCAGTTAATGTGAGAGCTCAGTTTGGCCATTATTTGGGAGTCTGACTGGTAGTCATTCTAGCTATTAAACTTCAAAATGAGGGCTAAGGAAGATACATGGATAGCAGTAGTGTCGCATGCGAGTTCCTTGGCTCAACATCTCTCTCTTATGCAGACGAAAGAGATGAGAGAAAACCCTGGTGTCGCTGTGTTTTCAACCTTTAGGTCTAACCTTTAGTAAATATTGAATTCTCTGTTACTGTGGGGTGAAGGCCGCGAAGTTGGCCGCACTCTAGGAAACATAAAAGTTCACATGAAAAATATTACTATGAAAATACACATTGAGTAGCCCAAGTGAAAATGAAATATTGTGCTCTTGTGCACATATACATATGGGCAGAGCAGTTAATAATGCCTTGAAAATTGAAACTTTTCATTTCCTTGTGGTACAGGTTCACTGCCAAGAAATAATGGTTCTGTTTTATTGCTTACTTTATATTACTGTTTTTGAGAAGTTGAATTTGGTCTTGCATAGAAATTCATGATCTTACTGCTCTTATTTGAAGAAATGTCATAGTTCAGTAGATTTTGAAGTTGTAGCCTTAAAAAAGCTGCCAGCTACTCTTGTCCCAGTAGAATTCATCAACAAGATTGAGCTTTTAGTTATTTTGGACTCTAGAGAGAATTTTTAAGTGCATTTTCATCTCTCACTATTGGCCAGGAAAAAAAGTTACAATTAAATTCTTTTCTTCTCTACATAATGCTTCATATAGGTGCTAATTGCAAAATATTGTAGTTTCTGAACTGTATCATCTCTTTTCCTCTAATATGAAGTCTACCAGAAATAGAGAAAGTAGACAGAAGGGGAGGGAGAGTTGGGTTTCTTCCTTACAATATATTTTGACTGTTATCCATATTATCCTTATTAATAACTATTATTGTATTTTGGTTATCCTTACGGTATTGTTTTAAGGCCCTTTTCATCAGTATGTTGTAGTGACAAGGGAAGTTCAGTGACAATTCATGCTCAGCATTTCCACAGCTGGAACTTCTTCTCAACTTTTTAATTTTCTTTCTTCCACGGTTTTTAGCTGCATTTTGTCGTTTAACTTCCATTGGTTTCTTCTTGAACAAGAGAAATCATGTAGCTTGAGCAAGAGAGTTTATAAAGACAGACATTTATAAAAACAAGAGATGGTCACTTCCAGGAGGCAAAAATGTGTTTCTAGGGCCTGGAGAAGGGAGCTGAAGCAACCTGTTTATTCTTTTCAGTATCTAGTTTTGTCAGAGTTGTAAGAATGGGCAGGCTGTTAACACACAGGTTTTTTTATTTATTTACTTTTACTATATGTGTTATTGATAGCAATCTTGTTGGCTGATAGTTTTTCCTCTGTTTCCTTATTTTTGATAGGTGACAACTGGCATTTGAGAAGGCTTGACTGGTGCTATGAAGCAGGGGAAGCATTAAGTCAGGAAGTAAGTGGACCTTTTGGGCTTGAATCATACAATATGTAGTCTATTTTTCTTTAGAGCCTTTTCCTTTAAAAAAAAAAATCTGTGGAGTGTTTCTGTGGGTGATACATTGCTAGGCATGTGATGCTGTTTTTGTAAGGCTTTATGAAGATGGTATTGCTGTACCTATTGTTGAAGGGGTTGAAGGTGAGTCTTAAGCATCTTCCTCTCAGGGACTTTTATTAAGCAATAAACAATAACAACAAGCACAAGGTATTAATTGGTAAAATATGGACGTGCAGAGGAAGTGGATGGGGTCAGTGGGATGTTCTAGAAGAATTCTGTGCACTTACGTGGATAGGTTATTTATGCACTCTTGCAAAGTTGTTTCCAGGTGCTGGCTGGTAGGTGGATATTTATATGCCTTTCTGTGAAAAAGCAGAAAACTGATCTTTTTTTAATGCCAAGTATACAAAAAAAAAAAAAACCCTTCAGGAAGTAAAATGGAAGTAAAACCCCTTCAGGAAGTAAAACACGGTGCTTTCTCTCTCTAGAATGCCACTCTGAAGGAACTTAATGTCTGCAGAGGGGATACTTTGGTTGTAACTGAAGGAAAGCTCCCACCAAAGGTAAAATTATGGGTGTTTATGTTCTTTAATGAATTAACATTTTTTGGAGGCTTGAATGTGATAGCTACCAGGTTCTTTTTGTTTGTTTTCCAGGGGTTCCTGAAAATACCCATCTGGTGGTACAAGCCTTTAAGTCGTATGGAGCATGGAGGGAGTGCACAAGACCAAGTGAATGGTGTGACCTGCCGGATGGAGGCTTTGCAGTTGTCTCCAGCAGCAGGTGAGCTCAGTCAGCTCATGGGAGGAACCATATGTTTCTCTTGGAACAATAAACTCAATTTTTCAATACTGACTCTTCTCTCTCTCTCTCTCTCTTTTGCTGGATCTCTATCTCCCCCCAGAATATGTCCAAACACACACGGATCTGTGTTATGCTGGCAGTATAGAAATACCAGGAGAAGCTTCTTTGGAAGATTTGAAGATTCAGGTTAGATGTTCTCCTGTGTTTTAAATGTACAGCAACACTGTGATTAATTGAGCTATATTAATACCTATTTTTTATTTCCTTTTCCCTTGTCTCCAGTATGTTCTGATATGGCATTTGCTTATATGCCATGTTCAGTGGTAAGTACCAAGAGGCAATTTGAGCATGTAGCTCAGATATTTCCTTAGTATGTTCCCTGCAGTTGCCATTCTACCTGTCACGTGTCCTCAGCTGCAAAAGCCTTGCTGCACTTCATCTGAAACTTTGGCTTACAGACGTATTTTTATTTCACAATATAAAAATGATTAATTAGAGGAACACACCTATACAAGTTCTTCCTAAAGAGCCACTTGCCATTTCCACATTGTTCCTGTATTAGTTATTTTTGTGTGTGTTTTCATATGTTAAACCTAACAAATGAGGAATTGCTTTAGATGCTGGGAAGGTCATATTTGTCATCTGTGAAGGTGTGTCTTAGTTTCCTTGGCCAGAAACTAAGACATGCAAAAAGGTGCCTTCATATATGTATTTAATTAGAAAAATGTGATTTAATGCACTTGTCCAAACAAACAAAAACAACCCACCATCAAACAACTGTTACAGATCTCTTCTACTCTTCAGCCAGTTGGTTGTTCTG